AGGAGGAAAGGAGCAGCGGCAAAGAGGAAGGCCCAGGAGGATCAGTGGAACGGGGGGGGACTGGGATTGTAAGGATGAGGAGGATGGTAAGGGTGAGGATCAGGAGAAGGGTAAAGGGCCATGGGCCCAGATGAGGAATCATACTCCAGGGTGGCGAGGAGTTTCGAGGAGGAGACAGGGGGCGCAGGAGAAGGAGGGTGAGGAGGAGCGTCAGGAGGTTAGGAACAAGAGAAGCTGGATGGGCTAGGAAGGAGGGCAGGAGAGAGCGAAGGTGAAGAGTGACAAATGAGGAGCAGGAACAGAAGCCAAATGACTTCGGAACTGGGTGATGCGAGGGGAGCTGATTCGAGCTTGATGCTCCTTCCTTCTCCTGAGCCAGTCCCCCGTACTGTTTCCCCTCAGCCCTAAGCCATAGGCTATGGGCTTCCAACTTCTGCTTGAACTTGGGCGTCCAGGGACCTGCTCACCTTTCCCGCACATCCTTGTGACCTGGCCGCGCTGTACGCATGTGAGCCCCACCTCTCCTGCGGGGGGATGCAGGCAGGATGGCCAGAGAGGGAACGAGGCGCCAGGTGCAGGTCAGCCACCCTGGCCGATGCATCCGGTCGAGAACGTTTGTTTTGCGTGTCGCGCCGCCGTTTCCGGCCCTTTGCGCTTCGGCGTCACGTGCTCACCACGTCCCAGCTCCCAGGCGTCAACGTCTCGGGCATTTCCCGGCCTCCCGCCCCGCGGTCGCAAGGGCGTGGCGTGTCGCCGGGGCCGCCGCCACGACATGCAAGCAGAAGTTCCTGACGGTGATCCTCGGGCCGTGCATCTCCCGCACACCTCTCGCTCGTTGCTCTGGTGCTGGCAGGGCGGCGGCTCGCGCGGGCGATTCGGGCCAAGGCTTGCCCGCCGACCTTGTCAAATCGTGACGATGTTGCGGTCCGCGTGCTCACGGAGGCGTCAGGTCAGGGTCCATTTCGATCCGATGTGTTCGAGCCGATCTCGATTTCGGCTGGGCTCGATCCCATTCGATTACGTTGCTCTGGCCCTCCGATGCGGCTCGATTGTTTGCATGGCGTTGTTGTGTGCATCTTGGAGCAGACGATCCGATGTGATTTCGACTCCTTGCCGATGCAGCCCGACCCAACGCACGTTCCGACTCGATCCGAGGCACGTCTTGTTTCGAGCCGATCCGGCTTAGCGGAGCGCACATGGGGGCCTGCGCAAGGGTGGCGGCCTTCTGAGAAGGCGGCAGGCGCCTTGAGAAGGCCAGCTCCAGGCTCTGAGGACGATCGAAAACATTTGAGGCCACTAAGCCAGCGGAATGGTCCAAGGGGGCCACGTCTAAAACAGACCGAGCCGCCAAATACGGTCGGGAGCGTTTGTTTAGCGTGTTGCTCCGCTGGTTCTGGCCCATCACGCCTCGGCGCGACACGCTAACCATTTTCCAAATCCCAAACGTCCACGTCCCAGGCCTTTAGGCCTTTTCCAGCCTCGCGCCCCTCGGAGCGGTGCAAATCATTGGAAGCTCGCAGGGCATGGCGTGTCGCCGGGGCCGCCATTTCGACACGCCAAGCAACAATTTCTGACCGTATGTGGGTCTCCCCCACAGCTGGTGGAAGGATTTGAGGGGCCCACGTCTAGAAAAAAACGAGCCGCCAAGTACCCAGACCTGCGAGGTCTTGATATTTTGATCACGCCGGAAGTCCCGACCCTCTCCCCAGGGCCAGCTTTTTGTTTTGAGCAGCTCTGTCACGGTCCCAGGGCACGGCGAGGGCCCCCGGAGGTCGCAAACGATGAAAATCCCTCCTTCGTTTTGGTTGTCCTAGCCGAGAGTACGTCTGGGTGTGAGCCGGGCCCAGTGGCGCGCCCGGGCCCCCCGGACTGAGCCGCGCGGGGCCGCGCGGCTCGTCGCTCCGTCTTTCCTCCCTTCCCCCGCTTTCCCTCGTCGTCCTCGTCGTCCTTGCTGGTCGTCCCCTGCACCTTGCCGCTGGGCTCCGTCGCGTGGGTAGAGCAAGAAGCGTCTGGGCTTGGGCCTGCCCCACTCGTGGGCGAAAGCCATATGCGTATCCGCGACCTCGCGGGCGGGGCCCCTGGGTCGCGACATAGCGGATGCGAGGCGCGTCTTCGCGGATGCCCCGCGCGGAACGTATTTGTGGGACCGCGTCTTCGCGGGATCGCGCCCAGGAATCCAAACCGCGAGGGCGCGGATGTGCATACGCAGGCCGCTCGTGACCGGCGGCGGCAGCGGCGTCGGCGACGGCGTCCACGTCGGAGTCGGCGTCGTCTGCGTCCTCGTCCTCGTCCTCGTCCTCCTCGTCCTCGTCCTCGTCGTCCTCGTCGTCGACCTCGTTGCCCGCGGGGATGTGGGCCGCGCTCCACGTCAGCCTCCCTGCTCGGGGCCGCCGCCTGCCCCAACGGGAGGCGGCAGGGTGGGGGCGGGGGGGGGGGGGTGCAGGCGGCGCTCGCTTGGAGGCGGCACGCGGCGACGCGGCGCTCCGCGGTCGCGCTGCAGGCCCCGCCCACCGCTGCGTCGGGCGGGGGCGCCTGCCGGGGGGTTGCGCCTGCGGGCCCCGTCCGGGAGGGGGAAGACGGCTGAGGTTATCCCCCGAGATCTTGGCGTCGCAATTCTTTCGAGCCGGGCGTTTTCGCCCGATGACGTGACGTGCCCTTGGGCCCTCTCAGATCGATCCGGCTCGAAAAATTGCGCAGATAGATTGGGATTGGGGCTCCGTTTTCGCGCCGTCGGATCTCAGGTTGGGAGGAGGAACTGGAGCGCTGTGATTCTGGGGCGCACCTTGACCCCGCTGGTGGGCTAGCTCCCTGGCGGCACCGCCTCTGGGACGCACGGCGGTCGCGGGCGCACACCGAGTTTGGCACTCAGGGTCGGGGCACATCAGTGAGCAAAACGAGGGCGAGTTCCCAGTCACGCCGCTGGCTCAGTCCACTTACCACATCCTGCCGTGGCAGTTCGGATTAGTCCGAATGACCTGGGGGGCAAGAAGAAAACAGTGCACGGCAGAGACGCATTGGCAAGATTGTGGGATATTCCACTGTAGTACACTTCCAGCGGCTCTGCTGCGCGCTGGGCGGCGCATTGTCCACTCGTGGTCGTTGGTGCTGCGGTGGGCCTCTGCGGACTTCGCCTCGGGTGGTGGGAGAGCGGTGCCGATACCCAGCGGTGCAGACACCCAGACATCGAATGCCAAACGTGGCACAAGCATAAATTAGGGGCGGTCCGTGTGGACCTTTGAAAGCTTACGCTTATGGTCATGCTTGTGAGTATAGTATATGTTTATGGTGTCGTGTTGCACTTGACTTGGTTTCTTTATTGGTATTATTATTGTTATTAATATTACTAGTAGTATTAGTATAGGTATCATTCGTGTTGCTTCTCGTATTACTATTGTTACTTGCATGGCTATCAGTGGTACTCGTTGCATCGTATTGTTAGTAAAAAGGTATTCATGATACGGTTATTAGCATTCACATTGCTATATGTTTGTTACTACTACCTTGTTCTTATTAACTTCTCGTAATACGAGTGCTTTTGCTGTGCTTAGTTTGTGTGGCATTACTACTCGTAAGGATCATTGGTATTCTGACGATTATTATTCGAAACGTTATCATTACAACTATGATTATGCATGTTGCTGTTCGTTAGTCCCCTACGACAGTCAACGCCCATACCAACAATCAGGGCGGATTATGTTTGTCGTCTTCGGCTCCTGGACCGTCAACAGACGACTCGGTTTAAAAGTCTACCCTGGGGAAAGGGTCCAGACTTCAGGGGACCTGCATTCAACAAATCGAGACATCGGAGGCCTGGGTACCGCTCTCTTCGGCGGGTGGATGCCCGCTGCGGGCCCCGTGGCCATCAAACATGCGGGCACCGATTCGGAGCGGATTTCGGAGAAGGAGGAGGAGGAGGAGGAGCAGGAGAAGGAGGAGGAGGAGCAGGAGGAGCCGGAGGAGCAGGAGGAGGAAGAAGAGGAGGAGGAGGAGGAGGCGGAGGAGGAGGAGGAGGAGGAGGAGGAGCACGCACCGATGCCCCTCGCCCAGGAAGCCGATGCAGGACGTCCCGGGGGGAGAGGCCCAGGGCGCAGCGGCATGCACACGGGATGGGCCTCCAGCGCCCCAAGGGGAAGCTTGGAGGGCGCACCTCGCCAAGTCAAGAGGCAGCCCCCAGATCGGGGGTTGTTAAAGGTGCCCCTGGCCCAAGTGCCCCCAGCTTTTCGTTCGATTTGGGGGCCCACGGGGCCCTCTGGGCCTCGCGAGGGGTGCTCTGGAGGCCGTGGGGGCCTCCTTGGAAGTCCTGGACGGAACTTGGGCCAGGGGCACTTCTAGCAACACGCGACCAGACACCCTCGCCAAAACTCTGAGCAAAGGGAGCCCGCAGGGAGAAGCCGCGCCCCCCCCCAAAGCCATGTTGTTCGGTACCCGCGGTACGCCGTGCTGTGGCTGTCAATGAGCAGGCGATTGGCTCGGGCAGCCGGACCAGAGGCCGATCAGGGGGGCCGAGGTCCCTCGCAGCGCAGGAACGGGCGAGGTCGGGACTCTCCTGATCTCACGATTTGCTAGTCACGCCGGCGGCAAACAGATGGTGGGCCCAGAGTGGGCACATATAGGGCCAGGCACGATTGCTTAGCGTGTCGTTCTGCCGGCTTCTGGCCCACAACGCCTCGTCGAGACACGCTAGCCACTTCCCAACTCCCAGGCGTCAGCGACCCGAGCCTGTCCCAGCCTCCCGCACCGCGGAGCGTAGCGACACGCTATCCGTTTGCAGCTCATACGTAGTGTCTCGCCAGGGCCGCCGCGGTTCGGTTGGTTCGGTTGCGCTGCAGTCAGATACATTCGGTCGGTTCGGTTCGGTCGGTTGCTGGGTCGTTGCCGCGCCGCTACGCCCTTCTCGGCCGCTCTGCTGTTGGCAGGTGCGGTTTCGGTAGGCTTGGGATTCGTTGTCGGGTCGGTTGTCGGATGGATTGTCGCCGTGTACGGGCTTGCTGATGGGCATGGGAGAGTGAGAGCTGATATTCCGTGGTGCCATGCATCGGCACGCAAGTAGAAGGCGCAGATGGCGGGTTCGCGATTTGGTCGGTCGGCGGGGGTCAGCACTACATCAGTAGACAGGGCGAGTTCGTCCTTCCATGACTGCAAGTGTGGGGAAGTGAACGTGGAGTGCAGGCCTGATCAGATTGGAGCATGCCGGGTACAACTGATCAAGCTCCCCAGGCGGGGGGAGGGAGTCCAGGAGCGACCGACGGAAGCGAGTCACGTCCCCGCATCTACGAGATCCCTTGCCATCCCACGCCCTGCAGCGGTTCGGGCCACTCGAGAGCTCCAGGGGGGGGGGGGTCGGGAGGCGCCGCCCGGGCCTTCCCGGAGACGCTGGGGTCGCCCTGGGCCGGGGGCGCTTCTGGCGAAGGCCGTCGCTGGGCACCTGCCACTCGCCACTCGGCGTCAGCAGCGGCCGCAGGGGCAAGGGCCAGAGGCGGGCGTCCCCAGCGCATGCCCACCGGGCGGTCGCCGACCTCGTGCTCGAACGGCCCGGCCTGCTTTCAGGAGCGACCTGCCTGCGAGGCAGTCGAGGCGCCGAGGGGCCGGTTGTCAGGCCGCTCCTTCCAATGCAGGTCGGCGGGCCTCGTTGCGGATGAGGCTCGCCGTGGCCAGAAGAGCCAGGTTACAGAAATCCCAGCAGCCATCCGGGCGCAGGCAGCTTGAAAGAGATATTTAAAGAGAGATCGCCATTCCAACACCGTTCTTCTGGAGAGACCTAAGACTCCAGTTTGGGAGGCTCGAGTAGGCCTGACGGGGCCGTCTGAAAAATGGCGAGACGCAACGTGAAATATGATGAGAGCTCCCGCTGCACACATCCGGCGAGAAGTGGACCCTGCAAATCCGGGGCGGGCCCGTCAAAAAGCGTCGGCACTTTCGTTCTTTCTTCGGCTTTCTTTGTGGCAGCGCGATGATAACAGGCGCCGCGACCACCACGGCTGGGTCAGGCGGTCGGGGGCCGCGACGGTCGCCGGCGCGCCCTCGCGCCACAGACTCCCTGGCATCCGATGCCTTGGGTGTTTTCCCGCACGGGGTCCCCGGAAGTTCTGGCCCCTTCCCCCCTGTGTCCTATCCCGAGCCGTCTTTGGACGGCCCCAGGGCCTTGCGAGCACATTTATAGGGCCGAAGGCGGCGAAAAGCCTCCGCCCCGATACTGCCGGGACGCTGGAGGTTGGTTCTCCGGCCGTCCTAACCAGGGCCTCCAGCGGCCGTCGAGACGATTCGGGCACCCATGGAACGCTCTCGGCGACGCGCCTTTCTTGGGAAGCACCCCGAGGCTGGAGGACCGCCGAGACCAACGAAAACGCCCCCAAAATCACGAAGCGTTGTCCCCCGCCCTCGCGGCGCTGCCGTTGGCCCACCAGGCGCGCGCTGCCCCCCAGCTGTCGTCGATGACATCTCCTCCGCCACGGGCGGGCTGGGCAGCTGCGCCCGGCGCGCCCCGGCTGCGACATGCGGGTCGTCCGCGGTCGTAAATTTCTACCTCCGTTTTGCCGCCACGCCAGATTTGTGGGCTGCCATGGCCCGGACAGAAGCCTCGCGGTGGTTCGGACGCAGCTCATGAATGGTCAAATTCGGCATCGCCGCTGGTATATCTGTGGTGGGAACCGACCTAATATGATGCAATTCCGCTTAATCCAGCTTGGCACCTCGTACTCAGGCTGAGTCTTGGGCCTGATCCTGCCTAATTAGTCTAACCCAAGTGCTTGATGTAAACTCAGGCAAAATAGCCCTTAATCCGAAAGCCTTTATAATGGCGTCGACGACCACAGTGCCGGGGAACTGCTTTGAACAACGCCAGTCGTTCAAAGCAGTGCCCCGGCACTGCTTTGAACGATGCGGAAATGCGATCAGCAGGAGCCTTCGCTTGTTCCTTCTCCTCTTCTCGTCGCTGTATCCTTTTCCTTGTCCTCCCTCCTCCCCCGTTCCCTCTCTACCTCGTTCTCTCCGTCTCATGCGCACTCTTCCTCCCCCCTCTCCTCCTCCTGTTCCTGCTTCTCCTCCTCGTCCTCCTCCTCCTCTGCCTCCTCCTCCTCATTTGTCCTATTTCTCCGTCCTCGTCCTCCTATCCCCCTCCCCCTTCTCCCTCTCCTCCTTCTCCTCCTCCTCGTCCTCCTCCTCTTCCTCCTCCTCCTCCTCCTCCTCCTCCTCCTCCTCCTCCTCCCCTTCTTCCTCCTCCTCCTCCTCCCCCTTTTCCTCTCCCTCCTCCTCCTCCTCCTCCGCCTCCTCCTCCCCCTTCCCCCTCTTCCTCCTCTGCTATCACTCCTCTATAATTCCTGTCCGCTCCTCCCCTTCACTGATCCTCCTCTTCGTCGTCATCATCCCTTTCGTCCTCCTTCGCACGCCTCTTAATCCTCAATCGGTTCCCAATCTTCTCGACTTTCTTGTCATCCGCGTCCTTGGCTCTTGAAGGAGCCTCAGGATTTCTCAGGGCTCTTGTTTGGCACGCGAAGACACACC